CCCCTGGCGGGGCCGGCCCTGCCCCTCCCACCCATTCCTGGGGAGTGAGGACCCCCGGCCCGGACCCCGAGTACAAGGCAGGCCCTGTAATCGGAGCCTGGGCCGCATGTGGCCGCGTCACCGGAGAGAGGCCGGCACCTGCGGAGGACGTGTCTGGCAGCGGCCCCAAGAACAGCCCGTCCTGGGGGCGGGGCGAGCTGAGCGCGGGAACTGGTGCGGGAGGGCGTTCGCGCTGCGCCCGCCTGGGGCCCCGCCAAGTGCGCGCAGGGCGCTGCTTGGGGGCGGTGGGGTTGGTCTGTACCCGTGCAAACCCCTCGGAGCCTCCAACCCCAGCAATGGGGCAGGAGTTGGGAGTTTGGGGGGCCGTGTGGGGACCTTCCAGGAGTTCCCGCCATTGCAAACAGAGCCAACCCAAACTCCATCCAGGGCTTGGTCCAAGTGTTCGTTAAGATCGAGGCCAACGAATTGGTTGTTGACCCTGACTGCTGAGTGAGCTCAGGCCGGATGCTGAACCTCTCTGAGTCTTTGTCTTTGTCCTGTCCTCTCTCCTGGGTGTTGGATTGAAGGAGCAAGGGAGCCCAAAGCAGATGCAGGTCAGAGCCCGGAGTAGGCACAAGATAGAGACGCTTTTGGCTTCCTTGGAAGTGCATCATTATCAGGGAGGCAACTAGACGCCCCCCCCCCACGCGCTTCCCCAATAGAGACCCCAGAAGGACTAAGGGAGATTGCTCTCTGTCCATGGCCCTCCAGGGCCCCCCAGAAGCAACAAAGTGTGTCACCCAGCCCTTCGGCCTTCTGCCTCTAGTTCTGACCCTGGGCTTGCATCCTCCACCTTCCTTGATGGATGGGTGACATGTGGAACATGGCTTCATGGAAAATTCTTCAAGGCCTTAATTTATCTGATAAGACAGCTCAGGGTCTTAGAATCTGAGAAGGCTTCAGGCAGGTTTGACTAAGGGCCGGGGGCGGGGGGAGGGAGACAAGCCTCAACCCTATATTTGGTTACCCCAGCAGGGCCCCAGAACCTGGGGCTGTTGGTCAGGGGGTGTGTATGAACAGGAGAGCCATCCACGCAGGCAGGAAAGAGAGGCATAGGGCAGCCAGGAAGCTGGTGCTGCCCAAGAAGGCCACCAGGGGGCAGCATGAAGCCAAGGACAGGTCTGGACTCGGCCTTCGCTCTCTCTAGCTAGGGGTTGGGAGACCCTGGGCACTCGGCTTCCTCGGGCGCCTGAGTCCCTGTAGCTGAGCAGCCATGCGGGTGTTGGAGAGCGACCCCGGGACGTTCCGGGAAACTGACCTGGCTTAGCTGTTCCAGTCTCCTCTAAGAATGAAAGTGCAAGAAGTGTTGGGGCCAAGTTTTTTCCTGCGTTGTACAATTCACTAATCAAATCTTGGAGCTGGTTCGAGGAGCCGGAGGGTGTGGGTTAAGCAGGCCTTAATCGCCTAGGAGCCACAGCAAGGGTTTAATCTAGCCAGCCCATTTCCTCATCCGAACATAGTATTGGTGTCGGCCTGCCTGCTGTGTGTTCTAGCGGCAGTCAGTAGCGCCGCGGTAGAGTCAGCTCCAAACTTTAAGCGATGAAGGACACGCAATTTATTTATTTATTCATTCATTTATTTTCGGTGCTGGGGATGGAACCCAGAGCCAGCGTTCATACTTCTCAAGTGCCTCACTACTGAGTCACCCCCTGCTCTTCAAATTTTATCTCCTACTCCAATCACTGGCAGAGTGGCTGTGCCTGAGTCTTGCCACGACCCTCTTCCCTCCTTTTGGTCAGCGGGGTGGCTATACAGAAAAATAGCTCCCAGGGTTGTCATATAAACGGGTGCACATAGAAATTTTGCCAAAGATCTGTGGCAGAAACTGGTCTCTGCACTTAGATGTGTAGTCTTTCCAGATGCTCCGGAGAAGCTAGAGGTGAAGTACACACACTGCCCGAGGCTATGGGTGAAGATTGCAGGGATAAACATCACTCTACTCACCATGACCAAGGGAGGTGGCTCAGAGTTTTTACCTCCTTTACCTCACAAGACAGAAACCCTGGAGAATTGTCCCTGATGAGCCAGACACCAGGCCAGCACCCCCTCCCAGCACCCTACCCCAGCTTTCCACAGCAATACAGTAAAAATGTTCTTTTTTTCCCCCTTTGGATGTATTTTAAATCACAAAATAGGAGGTGATTCTTGAAGCCAGACAGATGTTTACTTACCTGCAGACCCCTTGGGTTGGAGAGCTAGTTGGGGGCCTCAATACTGCTCCTGGAACTAGTGTGCTTAACAAGTTTTTGGATGCTATCCTTGATGGAATTTCACCTGTCACAGACTTGAAGAGGGGCCATTTTCCCTTGTGTTGAGGTGGGACAAATGAACCGAAAAAATAGAAATCTAAAAGCAGAAAGCAGACGGGCAGTGGTGGCGCATACCTTTGATCCCAGCACTCAGGAGGCAGAAGACAGAGGATCTCTGTGAATTTGAGGACAGCCTGGTTTACAAATCGAGATCCCGGACAGTCAGAACTGTTACACAGAGAAACTGTCTTAAAAAAAAAAAAATAAGGGCAACGGAGGGTGGGAGTGTCCTAGCCAGGCTGATGCCCAGTAAGGCAGCCTGCACAGCATCTATACTGCTTCTCCCAACAAATAGGACATGATAGCTCCACATCACAGGGGGTATGTACACTCCCCACAGCAGCTTTTGGCTTGGGCTGTGGGCAGAGTGGGTCTTCTCTGTCCCTGTCATCCTTGACAGCTGCAGCGTGGGCATTTGGACTGTTGGGGAGACGCTGGGGACCAGGTGGTCTCTAACTAGCATGGTTCGGTGACTTGGGGTTCTCTGGAGAGGCCCCTGTGGCCTGGGCACAGGGACAGAACAAAGCCCTGATTCCTTCTGACCTTGGACAAGTTGATTTTAGCCTTTGGTTCATGAGGCCCCTCAGAAGCCTTCATTAGTTTTACTTTACTCAAGAAAAATACCGTGACGTACCAATGTAATGTGGTGTACTGAGAAAAATAAATCCTCCCAGGTCACAGGCGCTGGCCTCTCCGCCAGAGCAGCTCCCAAAACCTGCCTCTCACCTGTTCCAGGACGACCTATTCAGTCTGGCATCTGGCTTCAGGGTTTGAAGACCTTTTATCAACCACTTGCCTTCCTGGTTGTCCGAACTACCTAACCACTGCAAATAAGATTCTGTCTCCGAATTCTTAGAGGCATCTCTTCTGGGAGCTGAGAGCTTGGGGGCTCTGCAGGGCCTTTCAAGTATGTCCGGAAGTCCTAGTTCCCCATGGCGGGGGAGGGGGCTTGCTCCTGGCACATGCTGCAGTCACCTTCTGGACTCCCTGCCCTAAATAATGGACTCCTTTTGGCGACGGGGGTGGGGGGTCTGCCAGCCGCAGTTGGGGTGTGTTTGTGTGAGTATCCAGAGCCCCACCAAGAGGCACTGCCGTGAAGGAGAGGGTGGGTCCTTCCCTCTTTTCCAGCACAACTACTTCCAGCCAACCAAGGCAGGCAGAACTGGGGGTTGCATATGGCTTGACCCAAATCTGAGGTCTTGGGCATCTATCAGTGTCGCGATGTAGGTGTACATCACGATAGGGCCAGGATGGGCCAGTTTGTGTCTCATCTGGGTAGGTGGGCCCAGAGATCATGTTACAGACCCTGGTTAAGGACCTCAAGATCTCCACAATATTGTCCCTCTGGAAAAGAATGGAGCTGACCCCTGTTTCTATCTTCTTGATAGAAGCTCTTAGGGCTAGCAGGTGTGCTGACGCCTCGAAGGCAGGGACACAGGCCTGGGTGCAGAGAGCGGCTCCAGCCATGGTCCTGCCAGGGCCAGGATCCAGCTGGTAGTGCTGGGTTAAAGTCCTATCATCTGGCTCAGCCCTAGTGAGAACACAGACCGCGGGGACCGAAGGACCTGCACCGACGCCGGCATCGCCAAGGGGCAGTGCCCAGCTTCAGGG